CGGCTAGGTCATGTTATGGGAATGGATGAGGATACCCCTACTCCAAAGGCATATAATAGCGAGCCAAGTGATGGTTCACGCAGAAGGGGAAGGACACGAATCCGAAGGAAGGATCAAGTAGAAGACAACATCTCGGAACAGGGTCTTTAAAATTGGAAGAAATGCGCAAAAGAACGACGAGCTTGGAAATCTTTTTTTTTGAGCTCGGCTTATGGAGCAACCTTTCTGTCAAAAGCCAGCTAAGTAGGCTCAGGTTCGACTTGGAACAATTTAATAACCTTGTTACTTTTTATTTCTTTCAATAAGAAGCAAAGCGTACATTTTTTATTATAATATTTATTTTGTGCGATGAGTGCAACATAACCACAATTTTACAAATAAAAAAACATTTATTTTATTTTATTACGAAGAGTTCCATTTCACATCTTAATTTTTAAATAAACGCATCAAATTTTCAAAATTTAATTCCAAAATAAACACAAAGATACTAAGACCATAGCCAATGGATAGGATAATCACCATAGCAGATAATGTGTTCACGGTGAGATTTGTCATCTTGCGGTTATCCAATTCCCGCACATAATCAATTTTCATATGATCCTTAATACGGTGAAAAAGATTTTGCCGATAATATTTATAAAGACCACTCTCACGTAGGCGTAAAATAAAGAAATGAAATATTTCCAAAAAATGACTATCGGCACGAAATAGCAATTGCAATGAATAAGGTCCATGACAAACTGTCGAAAGGCTAAAGCGTTTGGGATCCAAATAACGTTGCTGCTCATCAATGGCCACAAATTCCTCCTGGGCAATTAAATACATAAACGAATTATTTAAATGGGACAAATGGTCATAGACATTCTCGTAGGAGGTGCCGATCAATTGATGCGTTTCAGCAATTTTAATATTGAAAAATTTCGTAAAAAATTTAGCATCGAATGATATCATAAGGATAGGTATGTTTTCGGCCAGTATATCCTTCAGGCGATTCGGAGGTCCTTTGAAATAACTTGCCATGAGATAGGAACTTAAATTGCTCGAAAATAATTGGGAAATATAAAGACCCGTAAAGGCAATGGCGATATATAACACGAAGATGCGTAGAAATCTAGAAAGACGTATTCCGCCCAAGGGCTGGAGGGGTACATTGGGTACTGGAATACTCAAGATAATGCAAATAACGTAGAAAGGACGATAACGCTGCCAACCCATTTGCGGATTTTTTCGATGCGAACTATACACGGAGTAAAGGCTCCATATTAGTTCATAAATCACAAAAGAGACCACCACGACCAGACACACCTTCCAATTTATAAAATCCAAAAAGGTTATTTGCTGCTTTTCTGCTTTTGGTATCATTATGCAACGTGAGGTGGAGATAAATGGGTAGCTATAGTCCACACCCGGTCTATAGTTGACAATCGACAGAATGTGAGGCGATATTTCAGATTCTCCACTGCGTATATGTAGATAGATTCGATGTGAATCCAATGCAAATGAATTATTGACTTCTAGTGGGTAAATGTTTAAGGTGACATTTAGCCGGTGCATTAACTCCGCTATAATCCATGCAGCTAGACCATCGGATACATATTTTTGCTTCACTTCATCGAAATAAAATATCGTCGAAGGGTAATCACTTTGTACGGGCATATTTACGGTATAGCCTTTGAAATCTCGTATACCATCCACAATGGGAAACCACAAAGACAAAGGTTCCGAAGTGACATTTACAATTCTCAGTGTGGGATATGGATCCATGGTCAGCATATCACGACCATTTGCAATTACCAATGGTCGTCGCAGCTGATGTTTCCACAGCTGCTCAAATAAAAAACGATTATCATGGGGTGAGGTAAAGGTGTGCAGGAGATAAATTGTAAAGCAGGTTCTACGATGACGTGTCGCCATTGCTGTGGACTCCAAAACTCGATCATACACGCTATGCATTAATGTCAATACCAAAGCATTACTTTTTATATCGGTCATATTGTACAGGGGAGTTTTCACATCTACATCCTGCATGGTGAGTTTGGGGAAATGTTGGAAATAGCCTTTCTTCTCATATAATTCACGTAAAATTTCCCGGGCCAAATGGCGATGTTGCAATTTCCATTTGTAGATAATAAATAACGAAGTCATATTCCAAAATTCACCAATTTTATTAATCTGAGCAGCTACCTCTCCAGGTTGGTATACATTTCTTTCAGCGATTCGTTTTTGAGATTTATATTTATTGGCGTTGGGAAATTGTTCGGTGCAGAGACAATATGTTGCCAATATTATTAGAATATTGCAATTCATAGCGGATCGAATGACAAAAATTATTTCTTTATAACTTCAACTTTTAATTTGGAATGAAATACACAGCGAGTAGCATATTTTCGATGACCACAAGTAACAACTGTGGTTACATTTTGGATTTATTTAATTACAACTTTGAGAGAGTAAATACGTAATTGATGACATTTTTATATTTGAGGATAAATAGCAGCCAACCTGTACCCTATGGAAATTCCTTTTTTGCAATCTACTGCAAATAGAGCGTAGCATTGTAGGGGGTAAACAAATGTTGGATTCGAAAATGACAATTGTTTTTGATATACAGTATCTGGATGTTTGTGTGAGTTCCTGTCATTTGGCCTACCTCACAGTGGCTGAACCACAGCGCCGTAGTGCTGTACCAATTGGAGAGCATGCAGACGGCACACTCTCCCCTTGGTGAGGGGCGAAACCACACCCCGCGAATCAGGAGGTCACACCAACTGCCTGGTTGGATCGACAGATCCAGGGGCACCTGACACCCGTGATATGGAAAACCTCCGATCAGGCTCGAGACCGAAGCCTCTTCCAGTTTGAGAGAAGTTCGGGCTGGTATCCCAATACATAAATAAACGACACAAAATACTACGCGTCTGCAGCAGTAAATCACGGCTCGCAGCAACACCACAAGCGGCAAGCAGAAACATCGCCACTGACAGAAACAACGACGAAAACGGACGAGAAAAATTAACATGCTGTCTTCACGGATTGCACCAAGGGCCCAAGGGACCGCGGCAACGGACAACACAACACACAATCAAGAAAACTGTCCTCACGGGCAGCCTTCACGACATCCACGCAACACAAGTACACTTATGAAGGCCCTCGATGAACAGCAACCAGATATTCCCCAACCGCCACACCCACCACCATTCGGTGTAACCAACAAAGCCAACTTGCACAGAGGCTACCCAAAAGGACCACCTCCACTAAGTACCGTACTTCTCTTAAGAGCTTCACGAGGTAAGCTACTTAAACAACGAAGGATCCGACCCGTCTTCAAGAACCCTTCTGAAACCTCCCACCCCTCCCCTAAACCTGTAATGTCTTCATAGTAGCAGCATTCCGTCAGTATATGCTTCCAGTCTTCAGTCATCCCGCACCAATCAACAACGCACTCCTGCCGGATAGTGCTGTACCGCCTACTATCCCCATCCACCAGATCAGAAGGTCTGAGCCAATCATTCTCATCCAGGTATAAGCAAACCACGCTTATACTTGATAGCTCTACATCTCACCTCAAGATTTAGCGGCACGACGCCAAACAGCGTCTTGCAACAGCATTCCGTCAGTATATGCTTCCAGTCTTCAGTCATCCCGCACCAATCAACAACGCACTCCCGACATATAGTGCTGTACCGCCTACTATCCCCATCCACCAGATCAGAAGGTCTGAGCCAATCATTCTCATCCAAGTATAAGCAAACAACGCTTATACTTGATAGCTCTACATCTCACCTCAAGATTTAGCAGCACGACGCCAAACAGCGTCTTACAACGCCTCTTTGGAAACATGCTGACGTGACGACCTGCTGAAACGAAAGGAGCTTCTTCTGCCCTAAGACAGTCTAGACAGTTTTGTCCATATGGGCGAAGCATAAGTTGCACAGGCAACAAAGAACACACTCAATCGGTCCGCAAGACACGCTTGATGGTCCCAACGACCGCTGTCAGCTTCTTCTTCAACCGATTAAAGTGAGCAAGGAAATTCAACGACTTGGACACCGTTATTCCGTGATACTTTATTGTACTCGAATTCCTTATGCCGCGTTCACCAGCGCGAATGGAGGGAAGACGGCCAAGCATCCTCTGACCGCCTTCCTCTGCTGCCTATGGACGATGATTGCCATTCTTTTTAGCAAGCCGGCAGAGTGGCCTTCAGTGCCACAGTTCACGTTCTTTATAACAGCGCGTGGCTTATCCGCAACCATGGGTTTTTGGTCCGGGATAGCGCACAGGTTGCTGGCATGTGGACCAGCACACTTCACACACTGTTGAGTTATTCCGTCAGTGGGCAGAAATGTGACAAAAGCGCTGGCAGTTGTAGCACTGGGTCACGCAACGACGCGTGACCCAGTACTCCTACACGGAGTATTCCGCTGAAACGCCATCGAAGATGACGCTATACGGAAGCCGATTCTTCGGAGTGTGAGTATGGTGTTTATCCCACATTACTCCAGCAAGGTTTTCACCTTGCCGAAAGCCTCCAGATTTCGAAACCTCAGGGTGTTCACGTAGCGAACATGTCTTTCAAATGATCTGTCTTGCTGTGGTTTCTCTTGTGGTATGTTTGGGATTACGGGTAGTAATCTTCACTACAGACTGATAAGCATGTGTAGCGTGCTTGCCAAATGTGAGATAAAGCAATGTATGTATCCCCTCCATGTGTTATGGCAGATGGCTTCACGCTCTCTCTCTCTCTCTCTTTCACACATTAGTCTAAGATTGGATAAGTCATATTGTAATACTTAGTTCTTAAGGATCAGTTTTTATTTTAATAAATTAGAGTGTAAATGCCCAAAGACGGAATAAGACGCGATTACACTCCGCGGAGAATATCCGCGTCAACTATACAAATCCCTCGTTTACTACTTTGCCGGTCAAATTATTTTTATTTGATGAAATATTGTGCGCATTAAAAATATAGAGTGTTGAGAATATTTTTTAAAAGTTATTTATTTTCTTAATGAACTTGGACCTCGTTTCGAATATAATTCGATTAAAAATACAACGAAACTAGAGATATAACCTGCCGCCAGAATATATTTCATTGCTGCCAGAGTATTTAATGTGATATTCATATTAATTTTTGTAGTCACATCATTGACCTCTTCCCTTATATAATCAATTTTACCATGTTTCTTGGCCCGTTGAAATAGTGTCTGCATCTGGAATTCAGTAATACCACCTTCACACAGACGAAGTACGAAAAGCTGTAACAACGGCAGGAAATGACTATCGGCCGTCAATTGAAACTGCAGAGGATATGGACCATGACACACATCGGTCAGGATGAAACGTTTGGAGTGCAAGTAACGTTGCTGTTCATCGATGACATCAAATTCAGGACGGGTTATCAGATACATAAAAGAGGTATTAAGCTGTGAACGATGTTGATAGACGGTCTCGTAAGAAGCCTGCACAAAATGTTGCGGATCATCGGTATTAATTTTGAAATGTTTCATAAAGGACTCGGCATCAAATGGCCGCATCATAATCGGTATATTGGAGGAGAGTATTTCCTGTAATGTTGGTGAGGGAGTTTTGAAATAGCTGGCGGTGAGGAATGAAGATAAATTACTGGAGAAGAGCGTAGAACTATAATTACCCGTAAATGTGATCAGAAAGTATAGTAATATAATTCGGATGAATGCTATCGAGCGTAGAGGTTTAAACGAGGGTCTGGGTATTGCTGGCATCGGAATACCCAGAAGAATACAAATTATATAGAATGGACGATAATACTGCAGGGCATTCGATTCTTTTGAACAGTATTCGAGGTAGACATGCCACACAACTGCGTAGATGAGTAGCATAACTGTTAGAAATATGAACAATTTCCAATTCACGAATTTTCGAAAAGCGATGATGTGTTCTCGGCCTAGAGGCATCATTATGCAACGCGTGGTAGTGGTATAGGGATAACTATAATCCAATTCAGGTTCATATTTAACAACTGACATTATGTGTGGGCTTATTTCCATTTCTCCACTTCGTAGCAGCTGACAAATTCGATGTGAATTAAGGAAATATGAGTGGTTATACAGTAAGGGATATACATTCAGGGAGACATTCAAGCGGATCATTAGCTCATTTACAATCCATGATGCCAAGCCGTCGGCTATAAATTTTCCTGTCTTTTCGTCCTTGTAAAAATATGTACTGGGAATATCACTTTGTATTGGCATATTCACGGTATATCCTCGGAAATCCCTAATGCCATCAACTCTGGGAAACCATTCTGCCATAGATTGTAAGGTCACATTCACACTACGCAATGACGGATATGGATCAATGGTAAATATATTTCTTGCATTCATGATAACTAAAGATCTTCTCAGCTGGAATTTCCACAATTGTTGAAATAAATATTCATAATCTTCCGCATAGGTGAGGGTATGTAAGAGATAAATTGATGGAATCGTTCTACGATTACGTGTTAGCATGGCTGTTGTTTTCAAAATATTATCATAAACCGTATGCATTAGGGTTAGCACCAAAGTATTACACCCACGCCTGCGATATCATATAAGGGTTTCTGAACATCCACATCTCTCAACGTCATTCGTAGCATGCGTTCCGAAAAGTTATTCATTTGGTGTAGTTCATTTAGAAAATCCATGGCTAGATGGTTATTTTGCAATTTGCTGTCATAAATAATGACAATTGTTGTCACATTCCAAAATTGCGAAATTTTATTAATCAGTTCCGACATGTTCCTTGGCTGAAAAATCCCCCTTCTTTCAATTGGAATTTCGGATGGTAGAATTTTGTCGAAATTATTGGTTGGTAATTGGTTGGCAAGAAGGAAAAAAGTCGATAATATTAAGAATATTTTAAAATCCATTATCAACATTTTTATGGAAATACACTTCTTAGGTGTTAGTACTTTGGGTTTCGAATAAATAACATTTCAACTTACCTATATGGGTATTGGTGCACCCTATTTGGATGTGTTGTCAAACTGTACTTGATTTTTTAATTATACATTTAATGAACAAATATGTAATTGATGACTCCTGTATATCTGTGCCGAAAAATCAATACCAATGTGTTACAGAAGGTAACTCCATGGGAATTAATTGTTTCCATCTACCCTATGTCAACAAGCGGATAGGAAACATGTAATTGTATAAAGTTAACAATATGAACATGATATGGCTTATTGGATCAAAAACTGTTTCTAAGATCTGCTATAGATAAAATTCTCAAAAGGGTTTCAATAGTTAAACTACCACCAAAGAAGACCTTTGATACTTCATAAAAACATTGTATATGTAAAGATGCAGAAACCATACTTTCCCACTGTTCACGATTTTTGTGGTTTAAATAATTAATGAGTTTGCTCTCAGAAAAGAGACACACTCGAAGAACTAGATTATGCGGATAGTATTTGTCTTTTTACTCACAAGATATCCCAAATGCACTCAAAATTATTAGATTTTGAACCAATAAGTGCGCATCATTGTATTAATGAATAAAGTTTCATTAATGTAAAATTAACGAAATGATTCATAAATACAATGAAACTTCGTCATTGAAGCAATGCAAGTTTTTCATTATTGCAGTGAAAAGCACTCATTAATGCAATGAAATTTCCACATTAACAAAAGACAAACTTTCATTAATGCAATGAAAAGCATTCATTGAAATTTAATGAAACTATTTCCCCAAAGCTGTGAAAAACATGCATTAATGCAATGAAACTATTTCATTATATAACAATTATACAAATTTTCCCTAAAATTTCATAGGATTTGGGTGCGTACTTGCTTGCAGCAGACAGAATTTTGCGTATCATTTCAATATTCTTACTGTATTCTACTGTAATTAATACAATGAAACATCTTCATTGAAGCAATGAAACTTCTACATTAATTAAATGACAAACGTTCATAAATGCAATGGAACTTTTTCATCTATGCTATGTGCAGCAGACAGAATTTTGCGTATCATTTCAATATTCACATATGTTACTGTAATTAATGCAATGAAACGTCTTCGTTGATGCAATGAAACTTTTTCATCAATACAATGAAAAACATTCATGAATGCAATGAAATTTCTACATTAATAAAATTACAAACATTCATTAATGCAATGAAAAACATTCATTAATGCAATGAAACTTCATCATTGCATAATAATTAACACAATTTTCCCTTAATTTTCATATACTGTTATAAAAATAAATAGTTTCGTAGCGTAAAAAAAACTTTCATTATATTAATGAAACCGGTTCCTTGATACAACGTAACATAGAGCTATGGAACCCAACAAGCCAATGAATACCATAAAAACACCTGGTGACAAACAAGAACTAAGACAACATAACCATAGGTTTTTATGTAGGAGTTGACTTTCTTTGGGGAGATTTGAAAAAGTATTACGATTTAAAAAGTTTGGATGAAATCAGACATTTCATTACTTTTATATTGGTTTAACAAATTTTCAAGAAGTTGGCACCCTATGGGGAATCAATCAACGAGTCTAATCTTGTAGCTTGATCTATGAAAGGGGAATATATTTTAACATGTGGAAATTTTGAATGAAATTGGATATTCCGTTCCCTCTTTACAAGTTTTCAAAATGTTAAACCCTTTGTGGGGGAGGTATTAGAAAGAGTGGACCGATAAGTCCTATCTTAAAACATTATACAGGCATTGTTACAATACTAGGTTACCTGCATCTCTGCTATAGGATGAAGAATATCTCCAGCTTTCCTATAGGAAGGAGAATACCTCCAGCTCTTTCAATAGAAGACGAATACCTGCAGCTCTTCCATAGGAAGAAGAAGGCCTTCAGTTCTCCTCTAGGAAGAAGACCTCCAGCTCTCATATAGGTAGAAGAATACATGCAGCTCTTCCACAGAAAGAAGAATACCTGCAGCTCTTCCACAGGAATAAGAATACCCGCAGCTCTGCTATAGGATGAAGAATACCTGCAGCTCTCCTATAGGAAGGAGAATATCTCCAGCTCTTTCAAAGGAAGAAGAATACCTGCAGCTCTTCCACAGGAAGAAGAATACCTACAGTTCTCCTCTAGGAAGAAGACCTCCAGCTCTCCTATAGGAAGAAGAATACCTGCAGCTCTTCCGCAGCAAGAAGACTCCTGCGGCTTTTCCACAGGAAGAAGAAATCGTGCAGCTCTTTCTCAAGAAGAATACCTGCAGTTCTTCTATAGGAGGAAGAATACCTTCAGCTCTCCTATATGAAGAAGAATATCTCCAGCTCTTCCATAGGAAGAAGAATACCTGCAGCTCTTCCACAAAAAGAAGAGTACCTACAGTTCTCCTCTAGGAAGAAAAACGTCCAGCTCTCACATAGGGAGAAAAATATGCAGCATGCAGCTCTTCCATAGGAAGAAGAATAACTGCAGCTCTTCCATAGGAAGAAGAATAACTGCAGCTCTTCCATAGGAAGAAGAATACCTGCAGCTCTTCCATAGGAAGAAGAATACCTGCAGCTTTTCCACAGAAAGAAGAATACCTGAAGTTCATCCCCAGCACTCCTATAGCAAGAACATTGCATGCAGCTTTCCTATAGGAAGAAAAATACCTCAAGGTCTCCCATTGGATGAAGAAGATATCCAGGTCTTCCATAAGAGGAAGAATACCAGCAGCAGGTCCTTCATAGGAAAAAGAATACCTGCAGCTCTCCTATGGGAAGGAGAATACCTCCAGCTCTTCCAAAGGAAGTGGAAATTTTGAATGAAATTGGATATTCCGTTACCTCTTTACAAGATTTCAAAATGTTGACCCTTTGTGGGGGTGGTATTAGAAAGAGTGGACCGATAAGTCCTATCTTAAAACATTATACAGGCATTGTTACAATATTAGGTTGTGCAAATTCTGCACTTGGTATTGATTGTATACCACCTAGCCAAGAGAGGGTCAGAATTGAAGAATAATATAGCAGCAGGTACCGATGGAGACAAGGAGACAAGACGATATGTGTCACCTACAGACGTATAAGTCTTCTTTCCTTCGTACATAAAGTGATATCCAGCGTACTGTGTGAACGACTGAAGACAATGGTTAATGACATTAGTCGATCTTATAAATGCGGCTTCAGAATTGGCAAATCCACTATAAACCAGATTTTCACACTGCGCCAAATACTGGAAAAGACACATTCCACCTTTTCGTCGACTATAAATTCGCATTCGACAGCCCTATCCGTTCAGAGGTGTTTAAAGCCATGCCTTTGGCAATCCTGCAAAATTAATACGGTTATGCAGGATAACTCTAAGTGACACAAGGTTAGCAGTTTAAAGTCGAAAGGACCTCTCGGAGCCCTTCAATACCGAATGAGCATTCAGACAAGGTGACAGTTTTTCGTATGACCTTTTTAACATACTGCTGGAAAAGGTCGTACGAGAAATACGAACGTACGAACGAATTGAGAAGGAGTCTGTCTAAGTGGGACTGGCAGTAAATGGCGAGAAAACCAAGCTGATGGTATCAACGCGCAAGACGTCCAGTAGACTCAGACCAATTGTGGAACCCTGAAAACTACAGCTTTGAGGTAGTGAATTATTTTATATACATCGGTGCCGCCATGAACAATTCTAATAATATCAGCTTAGAAATCCGGAGGAGAATAGTCTTGGCCAACAGATGCTACTATGGGGCCCTCCGGGCCGCCCCCCTGCGTACGTCCCTGGTCTACGTAAGCAATTCAGAAACAATGCCACCTCTCGCCAGATCAAGCTCACACTCTACAAGATACTTACTTGGATACTTACGCAAGCTCTTGGAATGTTTGACGCATTCGACAGCCCTATCCGTTCAGAGGTGTTTAGAGCCATGCCTTTGGCAATCCTGCAAAATTAATACGGTTATGCAGGATAACTCTAAGTGACACAAGGTTAGCAGTTTAAAGTCGAAAGGACCTCTCGGAGCCCTTCAATACCGAATGAGCATTCAGACAAGGTGACAGTTTTTCGTATGACCTTTTTAACATACTGCTGGAAAAGGTCGTACGAGAAGCAAATGTGAACAGAAATGGCACTCGGTACACCAAACAGCATATGTTGCTCGCCTATGCCGGCGACATCGGTCGAACATTGCGAGCGGTAACAGCCACCTTCGAACGAATTGAGAAGGAGTCTGTCTGTTTAAAGTTGAAAGGACCTCTCGGAGCCCTTCAATACCGAATGAGCATTCAGACAAGGTGACAGTTTTTCGTATGACCTTTTTAACATACTGCTGGAAAAGGTCGTACGAGAAGCAAATGTGAACAGAAATGGCACTCGGTACACCAAACAGCATATGTTGCTCGCCTATGCCGGCGACAGCAGTCGAACATTGCGAGCGGTAACAGCCACCTTCGAACGAATTGAGAAGGAGTCTGTCTAAGTGGGACTGGCAGTAAATGGCGAGAAAACCAAGCTTATGGTATCAACGCGCAAGACGTCCAGTAGACTCAGACCAATTGTGGAACCCTGAAAACTACAGCTTTGAGGTAGTGAATTATTTTATATACATCGGTGCCGCCATGAACAATTCTAATAATATCAGCTTAGAAATCCGGAGGAGAATAGTCTTGGCCAACAGATGCTACTATGGTCTACGTAAGCAATTCAGAAACAAGGCCACCTATCGCCAGATCAAGTTCACGCTCTACAAGGCACTCGGTACACCAAACAGCATATGTTGCTCGCCTATGCCGGCGACATCGGTCGAAAATTGCGAGCGGTAACAGCCACCTTCGAACGAATTGAGAAGGAGTCTGTCTAAGAGGGACTGACAGTAAATGGCGAGAAAACCAAGCTGATGAAAAAATTCTCTGTTGCAAACATAAATTTACTGTGGAAAAATTCATTTCGGGGGGGGCCCGGGCCCTCCGGGCCGCCCCCCTGCGTACGTCCCTGGTCTACGTAAGCAATTCAGAAACAATGCCACCTCTCGCCAGATCAAGCTCACACTCTACAAGATACTTACTTGGATACTTACGCAAGCTCTTGGAATGTTTGACGCATTCGACAGCCCTATCCGTTCAGAGGTGTTTAGAGCCATGCCTTTGGCAATCCTGCAAAATTAATACGGTTATGCAGGATAACTCTAAGTGACACAAGGTTAGCAGTTTAAAGTCGAAAGGACCTCTCGGAGCCCTTCAATACCGAATGAGCATTCAGACAAGGTGACAGTTTTTCGTATGACCTTTTTAACATACTGCTGGAAAAGGTCGTACGAGAAGCAAATGTGAACAGAAATGGCACTCGGTACACCAAACAGCATATGTTGCTCGCCTATGCCGGCGACATCGGTCGAACATTGCGAGCGGTAACAGCCACCTTCGAACGAATTGAGAAGGAGTCTGTCTGTTTAAAGTTGAAAGGACCTCTCGGAGCCCTTCAATACCGAATGAGCATTCAGACAAGGTGACAGTTTTTCGTATGACCTTTTTAACATACTGCTGGAAAAGGTCGTACGAGAAGCAAATGTGAACAGAAATGGCACTCGGTACACCAAACAGCATATGTTGCTCGCCTATGCCGGCGACAGCAGTCGAACATTGCGAGCGGTAACAGCCACCTTCGAACGAATTGAGAAGGAGTCTGTCTAAGTGGGACTGGCAGTAAATGGCGAGAAAACCAAGCTTATGGTATCAACGCGCAAGACGTCCAGTAGACTCAGACCAATTGTGGAACCCTGAAAACTACAGCTTTGAGGTAGTGAATTATTTTATATACATCGGTGCCGCCATGAACAATTCTAATAATATCAGCTTAGAAATCCGGAGGAGAATAGTCTTGGCCAACAGATGCTACTATGGTCTACGTAAGCAATTCAGAAACAAGGCCACCTATCGCCAGATCAAGTTCACGCTCTACAAGGCACTCGGTACACCAAACAGCATATGTTGCTCGCCTATGCCGGCGACATCGGTCGAAAATTGCGAGCGGTAACAGCCACCTTCGAACGAATTGAGAAGGAGTCTGTCTAAGAGGGACTGACAGTAAATGGCGAGAAAACCAAGCTGATGAAAAAATTCTCTGTTGCAAACATAAATTTACTGTGAAAAAATTCATTTCGGGGGGGCCCGGGCCCTCCGGGCCGCCCCCCTGCGTACGTCCCTGGTCTACGTAAGCAATTCAGAAACAAGGCCACCTCTCGCCAGATCAAGCTCACACTCTACAAGATACTTACTTGGATACTTACGCAAGCTCTTGGAATGTTTGAAAGAAAAAATCGCCGAAAGATCTATGAGCCGATCTGCGTCAGCGGTGAATATCCCGTCGAATGAACCATGAGCTGTACCATCTAGGGATAGTCGAGCGTAAAAGTCGTCTTTTAGTCTTTTCGATTTTTCCAACTGACCAAAGCGTCGACGTTTCGATACTGTCAAACCTGTTCAAAATCGATTGTCGATTTTTAACGACTAATGAAAAAAAGACTAAAATTTTAATTTTTTACATGAATTGTTGTCAACAGAGAGAAAACAAATTCTGGAATGTGTAATTTGTTGGTAATTGGGGCTTTGTGATATTAAACAAAGTAATTATGAAAAAAATCTAAAGTCGATCTTGAAAAGCCGACTTGGCGATTCTCTCAAAGATCAAATATCGACTGCGACTTGTAGACTTTTTAATACAAAAAGTAGAGTAATCGATTAGTCGAAATTCGATTTAATTATCCATAGTTCCATTTATTCTCGGACATCGACATAGTCAGACATATCGAACTGCAGCGACTACGTTGGCTAGGTCATGTTAGGAGAATGGATGTCCCAGCTCAAAAAAGCGAGTTCCGGCATATAAAAGCGAGCCAAGTGATGGTTCACACAGAAGGGGAAGACCACGAATTCAATGGAAAGATCAAGTGGAAGGCATCTTCTCGGGACATGGTATTACAAATTGGATGAGCGGCGCACAAGACCGACGCAACTGTAAATCTTTTTTAACCTCGGCTTATGGAACAAACGTTCTGTCACAAACCAATTAAGTAAGTAACCGAATTTGGTATAAATTGGTTTACATTGGGTGTCAAATCTTCCTACCAAAAATGTCTCATGACATAGCCTGCCATTTTTTGAAGGCCCCGAATGATTACTGGTATTTTAATTGTTCACCTCAAAATAAAATTCAACCCGGCCAAACCTAAGGGCATTTTTATACCCTACACAACTATGTTGTCAGGGTATTATAGCTTTGTGCAGCCCCAAGAGTTTGTAACGCCGCGAAATATTGGTCCTAGACCCACCTTTAAGTATACCGATCGTCATATCTCGACTAGCTGAGTCGATCTAGACATGTGTGTCCGTCCGTCCGTCCATCTGTCCATTATAATTTGTAAACACGATACAGACCACAGTTATGGACCAATCTTCACGAAATTTTGCATGTAAGATGGGTTCTGGCCAATGAAGACCCCTATTGTTTTTGGTAATGATCGGTTGATGTTTAGGGGATGAAATGGACCAAATACTTAATTTTTGTCTGATTTTCGGGTCGCTCCAGAGGCCGCAATTATGGACCAAACACCGCGAAATTTTACATGGACAAGGGGATCGGGCCAAATAATAAACATGCATGTTTTGATAAAGATCGGTCAATATTTAGCGGGTCAAATGGACCCTGACTTTTGTGTGAAAAATGATAAAATTTGTATTCTATGGCGTATATATTAACCCCTGACGGACATATACCCGATAAGTTGATAGTGTATCCAAGAGGAATGGTTGACCTTTAAATTGATACCACTTATATTGTCGTATGTACTCGGATGTCGGAGATACACTTAAATATTTACAGGTGATTACGTATTCAGATATTATTTAGTAAGCCATTATCACACTAGTGGGTGGAACTATAGCGCTGATCGCTTTGAAGTGTTCAATTAGTCTCTAGTTATGGCCAAGGACAACGCCTATAATTTTCGGTGATGATCAGATAATAATTTTTGGATGAAGTGGACCGAAAACTTCATTTTTTGGTATTTTATCGAGTCGATATATAGGCCACAATTATAAGCCGAACATCACAACAGTACCCATGATGAAGGTAGTATGGACAAGTAATTAGAAGGGCTTTACCGGATATTAGTAAAATTCGGAAAATATGTCAGTGTAAGGGAGAGGTGCTGTTGATCTCTTATCGGTTAAAAGGGTGCAAATATCACGAAATATTGCCGAGGCTAGAAATACACATCCGCAGAAAGTAAGAGTTCTGTGGTAGTTGTGTAGGCTATCGTATGGTCGGCCCCGTCCGACTATACTGCTCCGCTCACTGGTTACTTATTGTTTTATAATGTGGGTAATATTTCCCAATAATTATTTCAGTAAGTGAAACATGAAGTTCAAATGAGAGACTACACAAAAGAAAATTGACTCCGCGGCCCTGCTTGTCTCAGAATCTAGCAATTACCCTGGGATTTTTACTTTGTTTCACACTGGTATTTACTTTTCCATACAAAGTATATTTCAATATTTACACATTTGAAGTTGTAATTAAAAATGCATCCAGGCAAATAAGTACATCGCATAAATATCCCTCTAGAAAGGACAACATGAAAAATCAGTGTAAAACCAAAGCACTTATAAATAACAAGTACAGTTCCATCAATATTTAATAATGAATCTAAAAATATTCATATTTTTATTAACATTTTGTCTTTTTACAAAACAATCACCGGGCGAAAATAATTTCTACAAAATTCTATCATCAGAAAATCGATTTGAAAAAATGGGAATATTTCAACCAAAGAACATGGCAGAACTAATTAATAAAGTTTCCGCATTTTGGAATCTGACAACAATTGTCATAATTTATGGTAGCAATTTGGAAAATAATCATCTAGCCATGGAGTTTTTAAATGAACTTCACCAGAAAAATAATTATTCGGAATGCATACCACGAATGACTTTCAGAGATGTAGATGTTCAGAAGCCATTATATGATATTCCAGGAGTGGATGCAAAAACCTTGGTGCTAACCCTAATGCATACGGTTTATGATAATATTTTGAAAACAACAGCCATGCTAACACGTAATCGTAGAACGGTTCCATCGATTTATCTCCTACATACCCTCACCTATGTGGAATATTTCGAATATTTATTTCGACAATTGTGGAAATTCCAGCTGAGAAGATCTTTAGTTATTATGAATGCTAGAAATGTATTAACCATGGATCCATATCCGATATTGAGAATTGTTAATGTGACCTTACAACCTATGGCAGAATGGTTTCCCATAGTTGATGGCATTAAGGATTTCCGAGAATATACCATGAATATGCCGATTCAAAGTGATATTCCCAGTACATATTTTTACAAGGACGCAAAAAGTGGACAATTTATAGCTGACGGCTTGGCTGCTTGGATTATAAATGAGCTAATGGCCCGCCTGAATGTCTCCCTCAATGTATATCCCTTACACTACAACCACTCGTATTTCATAAATTCCCATCAAATTTGTCAGCTGCTGCGTAGTGGAGAAATGGAAATAAGCCCCCACGTAGTGTCATTTGTTAAATATGAACCCGAATTCGATTTTAGCTATCCCTACACGACTACCACGCGTTGTATAATGATGCCTCCAGGCAGAGAACACATCATAGCTTTTCGAAAATTCTTGAATTGGAAATTGTTTTTATTTCTAACAGTTATGCTACTCATCTACGAATTTGTATGGCATACCTACCTCGAATACTGTTCAAATCGTTCGAATTGCCCGCACCTTTATCGTCCCTTCTATATAATTTGTATTCTCTTGGGTGTTCCGATGCCAGCAATACCCAGACCGACGTTGAAACGTCTACGTTCCATACCATTCATTCGAATTTTATTGCTATACTTTCTGATCACATTTACTGGGAATTATAGTTCTACGCTCTTCTCCAGTAAATTATCTTCATTCCTCACCGCCAGCTATTTCAAAACTCCCTCACCAAAATTACAGGAAATACTCTCCTCCAATATACCGATTATAATGCGGCCATTTGAAGCTGAGTTTTTTATGAAATATTTCAAAATTAATACCGATGATCAGCAACATTTTGTGAAGGCTTCATATGAGACGGTTTATGAGCATCGTTCGCAGCTTAATACCTCCTTTATGTATCTGATAACCCGTCCCGAATTTGACGTCATCAATGAACAGCAACGTTATTTACACACCAAACGTTTCATCCTGACCGATGTGTGTCATGGTCCATATCCCCTGCAGTTTCAATTGGCCGCCGATAACCATTTCCTGCCGTTGTTACAACTTTTCGTACTTCGCCTACGTGAGGCTGGTATTACGAAATACCAGAGGCAAACCCTATTTCAAAGGGCCAAGAAACATGGTAAAATTGATTACATAAGGGAAGAGGTCAATGATGTGACTACGAAAATCAATATGAATATCACATTAAATACTCTGGCGGCTATAAAGTATATTCTGGTAGCGGGTTATATCTCTAGTTTCGTTGTATTTTTAATCGAATTATATTCGAAACGAGGTCTAAGTTTATTAAAAAATAACTTATAAAAATGTACTCAAAACTTTATATGTGTGTTATGCGCACAATATTTCATCAAATAAAAACTAAAATTCAAACAGTCGTATTGGTGTTCTTAATTTGACCGGCAAGTAGTAACGGACTCGCCGCAGATCTTCATCAATTCCTTTTCCCTTGTTACCTGAATAAATCAGACATGTAAAAACGTCGTTGAGTTCGGGCGGGTCAAATTTTGTACAGACCCCAATATATACCCTAACCAGTAAGGAAAGTTCAAAAGTCGGACGGAGCCGACTATATGATACCCTTCGCCACTTTGGATACATACAAGAGATGTTAATAAATACAATATCCTGTAGATAGAACAGACATATAATCTTTTGAGGGCCATTGAAATGGAATGGGGTGAAAATAAATGTGTGATCTACATAGATATTTGAACCAATTAAAAACCCATCCACATACCATTCTGAAATCTATGAAAAATTGCATGTCAATCGGATTCTTTTGGTTACCATTTGTATGAAATAGAGCAAAATAATGGTTATGGATTTATATGCAAATCTGGACCTAATTGAGCAACCGCGGCATATAACGTTTGGTATGCTGCAGCACAGGTCCACAATTTTATCTCGCGTATATGGAACAGACGTAGGCTCCTCGGTGCACCACTTACCTAAAATCGGACGAAACTATATATGAGAGCTCTATATAAATCTGAATTGATTTTCACAAAACGTCGTATACATTATTATGGACCTATCTCAATACGTCATTCCAAATTTTGTATTAATCGGACAATCCTTGGAAGTTTGGTGCACCATTTACCAAAAAATCGCTAGATATATCCAAATCTAAACCGATTTTCACAAAACTTCGTATACACCAATGTGGACCTATTTTAATACCCCCTGCAAAATGTCTCAATAGAAATAAATTTTGACAGTTTGGTGCATAATTTACCTAAAATCGAACGAAAATATATATTGAAGCTATATCTAAATCTGAACCGATCTTCACCAATGTGGACATATTTTAATACCCCCTGCAAAATGTCTCAATAGAAATAAATTTTGACAGTGTGGTGCATAATTTACCTAAAATCGAACGAAAATATATATTGAAGCTATATCTAAATCTGAACCGATCTTCACGAAACTTAGCACGCATCACACCTGGCGCAATATAGTACGCCATGTAAAAGTTCGTGCAGATCGAAAGGTATATACATACTTTGGTGCACCAATTACATAAAATCGGACAAAAATGTATATGGGAGCTATATCTAAATCAGAACCGATTTTCACGAAACTCAGCACACATCATTCTAGACCTAATTTAGTAGCTGTGCCAAATTTCGTGCAAATCGAAGGATATATAGGGACTTTGGTACATCATTTAAATTAAATCGGACGAAAATATATATGGGAGCTATATTTAAATCTGAACCGATTTTCACGAAACTTAACACACATCATTTTGCACTTAATTACGCTATGCCAAATTTCGTGCAAATCGAAAGATATATAGGGACTTTGGTGCACCATTTACATAAAATCGGACGAAACTATATATGGGAGCCAAATTTTGTGCAAATCGAAAGATATGTAGGTTTTATGGTGCACCATTTACCTTAAATCGGATGAAAATATATATGGAAGCTATATCTAAATCTGAACCGATTTTTATGAAATTTAGCTCACATCTTTCTAGATTTAATTTAGTACGTTATACCAAATTTCGTGCAATTCGAAAGATATATAGGTACTTTGGTGCACCATTTTCCTTAAATCGGACGAAAATATATATGGGAGCTATATCTAAATCTGAACCGATTTTTCCCGATTTTTTTCCGATTTTTCAATTTCAATAGGGTTTGTCCTTGCGTCAAACAAATGAGCTGTGCCAAATTTCATCCAACTCGGATCATAAATGCGACCTGTACTTTGTTTACAATTTAACATGGACCGACGGACGGACAGACGGACGGAAATGCAGAAATCGACTTAAAAAGTGATTCTACGCATATTCTCAAAGGGAACCATGCATCTATCTCGTTGCCTGTTACAAACATATGCACACACACATAATACCCTGTACCACAGTGTGGTGAAGGGTATAAAAATGCCTAAAATCGATCGGAACATAGATATGGGGGTAAATACGTGGTAAATACGAATGAACCTCTAAAATAGGAAACTATAGCTATTTAGGTTGAAACACGGGCCTAACACAACCGAAATATTCGTCGTAGACCCATAATATATCGACTATCTGAGTCGATATAGGTCTTAACGAAATTTTGCATGTAGGACCGAAGTGGATATAATTTAGCATTCCGGCGTGGATTCTTTAAATAACATTTTTGAGGATTTTTTTTTGATTTTATTGGTAATTTAAGTTTTATTAGAGATTAACATTTATTGGATTCATAAAACATTTAATAAAAAATAATGTGTTGTAAAATAGAGGTGTGTACAATTTCAAAAGCTTAAACCTCAACTGTGTCCTTCGAACTCCTTTGTAGAACATGAAACCTTTTGATTTGACTCCATACTTTTTCCCCATACAATTCGTAAATAAAGGCCATAAAGCTGCTGATATAACCCACACCCAAGACGTAAAGCATTGCCGATAAAGTTGTAACTGTGGTTGTCGTTTTCGGTGGCAACTGCCCATCTCCGTCACGTACATAATTAATTATGCCCTGCTTCTGGGCCCTTTCAAACAGCGTACTTTTTTGATGATCATATATTCCCGACTCATGCAAACGAAGAATAAAGAAATGAAACAAATTTCCGAAATGACTATCGGCACGTAGTTGAAATTGTAGCGGATATGGGCCATGACATACGCTTGAAAATTGAAAACGTTTGGTCTGCAAATAACGCTGTTGTTCATCGAACACGGCATATTCCTCCCTGGTCGCAAAATACATAAATGCGGGATTGAGTTGGGAACGATATTTTTGAACATCTTGGTTGGAAAAATTAATAAAATATGGTAGGTCCACTGAACTGATTTCATGATAATCCAAAAAAGCCTTGGCATCAAAGTGGCGCATTATTATCGGAACTTTGGCGGAGAAAACATCGCGCAAATGTGTGGCTGGACCGTTGAGTAAATTTGCCGTCAACAGCGAAGTTAGGCAACTTGAGCAGATTTGTGAAATATAATTTCCGCTGAAGGCAATCAGAAAATAGATAATCAAAATCCGCAAGAACACAAAGCAACGCAATCTACCCAAGGGGGGTTCAAATTTAAAATGTGGTACCGGGATACCCAAAATAATACATAGAATATAAAATGAACGATGTTGATGGCAGCTGTAAACACGCTCTACCTTGGTATTGTACAGCACCTCATATATAGCCACAAATATGGCCAAAAACACACACAATTTCCAATCGATAAAACTTACAAATACAATATTCGAAGTTTGTGGCCGTGGCCTCATAATGCAGCGGGATGTGGTCTTATATGGGTAAGTAAAATCAATGTTGGGGTCAAGGCCAATAGTCGGCACCAAATGAGGACTCAGCTCAATCTCTCCACTACGCAGCAATTCAAAAATTCGACGATAATTAAAAATATAGGAATTTTCGATACTTAAAGGGCGTACCTCCAGGGTGACATTGAGGCGTGACATTAACTCCCGCACAATCCAAGCAGCCAAACCATCGGCAGCAAATTTTCGTGTACGACTATCCAAATAAAAATATGTGGCCGGTATATCAGTTTGTACGGGCATGTGCAAAATGTAACCCTTAAAATCCTTAACCCCTTCCACAATAGGAAACCAATTTCGCATAGGATACCCCGTCACATTAACAAATTCTAATTCCGGATACGGCTGCATAGTCAGCAGATCTTTACCATTGACAATTGCCAATGGTCGGCGCAGCTGATATCTCCACAATTGTTCAAATAAATAGAGATGATCTTCCGTATATGTATAGGTGAGTAGCAGATATATTGTAAAAACGGATCTATATTTACGTGTAGCATACGCTGTTGCCTCCACCACATGATCATAGACACTATTCATCAGAGTCAATACCAAAGTACTGGAATTTATATCGGCAATCTCATAGAAAGGTTTCTCTATGTCCACGTCACGCAACAACATTTGCGGCAATCCATGTAAATAGGTATGCCTCCGATGTAATTCTTTCAAAACATCTTGAAGGAAATTATTTTCCGATATCCGGGAATTATAAATTACATACACTGATGATATGTTCCAAAATTCGGCAATAGTATTTATCAAAGTTGTCATATTCTTGGCGTGGAATGTATCCTTCAAAGCACTGTGCACATTATATTGTAAAATTGGATCGATTTTGCTGTCAGATTCTGCTGCTCTAATAAAAATGCAACCGCTTATCAGTAGTAATACAATTTTGCAAAACATTCTTAATCGTTGGAAACTCAATTTTATAATGATTTTTGTACGCTAAAAAAATATTATTTTAGCTCATTTTAGGATGATTGTGTTTAAATCCCTGTAGACTTAATTTAGTTGTGTAGAAAAACAAATATCTAATTGATGGTATCCTTTACAGTCGCACTGCATTCTTATACAATTAATTATCAGTAAAAAAAATAAAGAATGTTGTGCACCAACATTTTGGAGGAGTGGAAATATTCCCTATTGGTATGATAGCTTTATATTTATAAATTTACTCGTATATTACTCAAAGCCTTCACTCGTATATTACTCAAAGCCTTATGGCTACTTAGTGTGCAGTTATGATTTTTTGTCTCTTTTCTCTAAAACTGATTTGTTGTGGTAGAAATGAAAGAACTTCTGCTTATTTTGGACTAAAATTACGTTTATTTATATCCGAGGCCTACTCCGCTCAACTTACCCATCTGCTTGATGAAAGCATTTCTTGTCCCGATAATAATAATATAGAGGCACAATGGCAGAGAATTACCCACTCCCTACAAACTGCAGTAAAAGCAACACTTGGGTACCAAAAACCACCACCAAGAAACCCATGGAACGATCAGGAGTGTCGTAATGCTACTGAGGTGAAAAACGCAGCGTATAGGGCATCCCTGCAGACAGTAGCAACACGTAACGTGATGGAGAACTATCGGGAGAAAAGGAGAGAGGAGAAACGTATATTCAGAAAAAAAAGAAGAAAGAACAAGAAAAACGTGAGCGTGAGCAAATCGAGATGTACAGGAGTCAGAATGAAATCCGGAAATTTTACCAACGAGTAAAACACCAAACCGAAGGCTTTGGTGCAGGCACATCCTCCCGTAGAGATGAAGAAGGAAACCTGGTGACAGATACAGACAGCGTGTTGAGGATTAGGAAGGAGCATTTCGAAAAGCTTCTAGTATCAAATAGTGGCGATAAAGAAGATAACCCAAAACCAATAAGAGATGATGGTATAGAGTGTATACCACCTAGCCAAGATGAGGTCATAAAAGCCGATGGGTTACCAGCCGAACTATTCAAGACTGGTGGCCAGGTGCTGGTCAGGAGCATGCACCAGCTGATTAGTACAATTTGGCTAGATGAATGCATGCCCAATGATTGGAACCTCAGCATCCTGTGTCCGGTGCACAAAAAAGGAGACAAGACGATATGTGCCAACTATAGAGGAATAAGTCTCCCTCCCATCGCATATAAAGTGCTATCCAGTGTGCTGTGTGAACGATTGAAGCCAATGGTCAATGACATCATCGGACCATACCAATGCGTCTTCAGACCTGGCAAATGCACCATTGACTAGATTTTTCACTCTGAGCCAAATCTTGGAAAAGACCCACGAAAAACACATCGACACATACCACCTATTTGTCGACTGTAAAGCCGCATTCGACAGCCTTATCCGTTCAGAGGTGTTTAAAGCCATGTCTGCGTTCGGCATTTCTGCAAAATACGGCTATGCAGGATAACTTTAAGTGGCACAAGGTCAGCAGTTAAAATAGGAAAGGACCTATCGGAGCCCTTCAATACCAAACGAGGATTCAGACAAGGTGACAGTTTGTCGTGTGATCTTTTTAACATCCTACTGGAAAAGGTCATACGAGACGCAAAGGTGAACAGAAATGGCACTCTGTACACCAAACAAGACATGTTACTCGCCTACGCCGATGACATCGATAAATGGGTCGAACATTGCGAGCGGTAACAGCCACCTTTGAACAAATTGAAAAAGAGTCTGCCAATGTGGGCCTGGCAGTAAACGGCGAGAAGACCAAGCTGATGGTATCAACGCGCAAGACGTCCAGTAGACTCGGACCAACTGTGGAACTTGAGAACTACAGCTTCGAGGTAGTTAAAGATGTACCGCCATAAATAAAACGAATGACATCAGTTTTGAAATTCGGAGAAGGATTGTGATGGCCAACAGATTCTACTATGGTCTAAGTAAGCAGTTTAGAAACAAGGCTACCTCCCGCCAGACCAAACTCACACTTTACAAGACGCTGATACTACCCGTGCTATTATATGGATCAGAAGCATGGGTACTTGCGCAAGCAGATGAGGCAGCTCTTGGGGTGTTTGAGAGAAAAATTCTCCGAAAGATCTACGAGCCGATCTGTGTCGACGGTGAATATCGGCGTCGAATGAACCACGAGCTTTACAATTTATACGCGGACATCGACATAGTCAGTCGTATTGAGCTGCAGCGACTACGGTGGCTAGGCCATGTTGTGCGAACGAATGAGAATGCCCCAGCTCAAAAGGCATATAAAAGCGAGCCTACTGATGGTTCCCGTAGAAGGGGAAGGCCACGAATTAGATGGAAAGACCAAATAGAAAACAACATCTTGGAACGTGGTCTTCCAAATTGGTGGACTTGCGCACAAGACCGACGCGTTTGGAAATCTTTTTTTCAAAAAAAAATTTTTTTTCAAAAATTTTATATATATTTACCATAAATTCCTACGACCCATTTCTAGGGAATATACAGTGGGTCACAGCCAAAAGTACCCGTTTGATGTCTATGCTTTTCACGAATTAAATTCAACCGTGTCAAGGTTCGGACATTTGGCATCACACCAGAACATTCCTTTCCGGAGCAGATTTTTCTTGTAGTGACGGACTTTTTTTCCATACAGACTACAATATTTTTCTTCAATGGTATGCAACTGCATAATGTGCAGCCTTAGGAAGATAAGGAGGTGGCTTTGAACGCTAAGGCGCCGGACAACAACAGATGCCATGGGAACCAGCGTTCAAATCCCAGCCGGGCACAAGCTGAATTTTTGAGTTTTGTTTTTAGGGTGAAGGATCATTCATGTAAATGTTTTTATACCCTTCACCACAGTATGGAGGGTATATTAATTTTGTTTTTCGTTTGTAACTCATCGAAATAATCATTTCCGACCCTATAAAGCATATATATTCTTGATCAGCGTAAATTCTATGACGATATAGCCATGTCCGTTTGTTGTAATCACTCTAGCGTTTAAACGAATTGAGATAGATCGCCAAAATTTTGCATAGAGTCTTTTGTCTGCAGGCAGGTCAAGTTCGATGATGGGCTTTATCGGTCCACGTTTAGGCATAGCTCCCATATAAGGGTACCCCTAAATTTTCGGTATTTTGTGGTTCTTGAGCGTGTTTTTCAACCGAACTCGCTGAAATTTACAACATTGGGCTTTTTATTGGGTACTTAATGTCTCCACAAAAAAATTATAAATATAGGTCCACGGTACCTCCTGCTTGGCAGTATTTTGGGGGTTTTGATCGTATTTATTCGCCGAATTAGCTGTAATTTAGTATTTTGAGTTCTTAATTTTTTTTCTTAATTTTGAGTTCTTTCAACCGAATTTGCTGCAATTTGTTATTTTGTAGTCGTATATGGTAACAAATCTCCTTACCAAAAATTGTTAATAGTCGCCCCCTTTTTGGGGTAGTCCCCATATAACCCCCTGTTTATATTAAAATATTTAATTGATTTGTTCCGCGTTTTGCGTTTGGTTCTATGTCTCGGTTGTAATAATTTCACATTCGGATGATAGCAAGGAAGATCTGGAGGTATTAGAACTAGGGATAAGCAAATCGACTTTCGACTAATCGATTAATCGACTTTCTGTATGGAAAAGTCTAAAAGTCGAAGTCGACTTTTGATTATTGAGAAAATCGCAAAATCGACTTTACAACATCGGCTTTCGATTTTCCTCATAAATACTTGTTTTATTATCATGAAGCCCAAATTGCCCAAAAATCACACATTCCAGAACTTTATTTTATCTGTTTACAAAAATTCATATAAAAAATCAAATTTTTCGGTGATTTTGCATTAGTCGGTAAAAGTCGAAAATCGATTTTGATCAGGTTTAACAAAATCGAAAGATCGAAAAGAGGACTTTTTAGTCAAAGGCAAAAGTCGAAAAGCCTAAAAATCGACTTTTTGGTCAGAGGCAAAAAGTCGACTTTTACGCTCAATTACGTATCCCTAATTAGAACGTAAGGTTCGATAATGAACTATAGCCGCATTTAGACCTAGCCCCTGTGTGGAGGTTCCAGAAGGAGTGGACCGATATTCCCCATCTTTGAATTTGAACTAGGTTTGGAAGAAATAATAAGATTGGCAAAGTTTGGATGAAATCTTAATTTTCTGAAACGGATTTGATCCAGAGAAACATGGGGTCTAGGACCAATATTTCGATGAGGCACATTTTCACCATGTTAAGGTGTATACACCACATTTATACCATGTTAAGGTGTATAATTATCCATTAAAAATTTCTGAAATTTGTTTTTAGAAATGTCGGCATAGGTCTACTTTTTGGTATGTTCTCTATATTTTCATTTCTATTACCAGTCAGTATATCTATGGTGGAGGGTATCCAAAGTTCGGCCCGCTTTTTCACTTGTTTTTATTAATTTCTCTTTCGAGATGAGCTACATGATCGGTGTTTGAAAAATATTTCTTTAATAAATCCACGCCTCAGTTGGCCCTTGAAAAATATTCTTTAATAAATCCACGCCTCAGTTGGCCCTTGAAAAATATTCTTTAATAAATCCACGCCTCAGTTGGCCCTTGAAAAATATTCTTTAATAAATCCACGCCTCAGTTGGCCCTTGAAAAATATTCTTTAATAAATCCACGCCTCAGTTGGCCCTTGAAAAATATTCTTTAATAAATCCACGCCTCAGTTGGCCCTTGAAAAATATTCTTTAATAAATCCACGCCTCAGTTGGCCCTTGAAAAATATTCTTTAATAAATCCACGCCTCAGTTGGCCCTTGAAAAATATTCTTTAATAAATCCACGCCTCAGTTGGCCCTTGAAAAATATTCTTTAATAAATCCACGCCTCAGTTGGCCCTTGAAAAATATTCTTTAATAAATCCACGCCTCAGTTGGCCCTTGAAAAATATTCTTTAATAAATCCACGCCTCAGTTGGCCCTTGAAAAATATTCTTTAATAAATCCACG